CATTTGTATAGGCCTCATGTCAGCTGTTGCAACATGTGATATAATGTTAAAAGAATACATTGGCGCTCATCATTGAACATAGCAGAATATCATCATCATGGATCTCTTGCTATAATAAAATGCAATACTCCCACCTTGTGTGCTATTTCCTATGGAAGCTCGTTTCCGCCACTAAATAAAGAAATAATTCATAAATAAATAAACAAATAGCGACATTTTATTCCACAATTCTGACTTGTTTTCTCAGAATTGCAAGATATAGCTAAACACAATGCAAAGATATGTGAGTTATAAAGTTTATAACTCGCATTGTTTATATCTCGCAATTCTGAGAAGAGGCCTTCACCTTTTTTGACTGCATCTGATTCTGAAGCATTATTCTTGTCCGTCATGCATTTATTTGTATTATTTTTCATGTTTTTATTGTATAATTACATTGTTCTGTCTTGTTCTGTTATGTCTAAATGTATAATAAATAAATTCAGACGAGCAGTTTGCGGTTTTCTGCCTTTATTGAACATTACACTGCATTTGGTCCGTTTTGCAACATGATTCAATTAAAATCACAGCGCTATACATACATGCACGCTGGAGACCTTTTACCACATATGGCTGCATCCAGATATTATTTAATAACCCCTGAAGCACTTCATCCAGTAGCTTTTCTCTCAGTGACAAGAAAAGCAGACCACTGTTGTTAGCACTTAGCAGTTAGCACTAAACATTAGTCGGGGAGGGGCTCTGGGAGGAGCTGAGTTAATTTATTCTCACGTCACACAACACCACATTTGACTAGGAGCAGGTACAATTCAGATATCTTAAAATATAATTGTGACTAGTCGAAACTGAATTAGAGATATCTCTAATTACCTTTGCGTATGTGTGACGCCCTATTGAAGATATCTATGACGTCATTACAGATATCTTAAATGGAGTTTTGACTAGTCATAAAGTATTTAGAGATATCTCTAATCCGATTTCTTACTAGTGCAATTATAATTGCAGATATCTCTAATTGTCATTGTGACTAGTCGAATTATAATTATGACTCGTCAAAATACAATTGTTCCTATTGTTCCTATTATTTATGGATAGTCAAAACAAACTTTTAAATGCTAAAACGGCTTGCGATTATCGAGTCAATCGAGTCAATACTAGTCACAATGACAATTAGAGATATCTGCAATTATAATTGCACTAGTAAGAAATCGGATTAGAGATATCTCTAAATACTTTATGACTAGTCAAAACTCCATTTAAGATATCTGTAATGACGTCATAGATATCTTCAATAGGGCGTCACACATACGCAAAGGTAATTAGAGATATCTCTAATTCAGTTTCGACTAGTCACAATTATATTTTAAGATATCTGAATTGTACCTGCTCCTAGTCAAATGTGGTGTTGTGTGACGTGAGAATAAATTAACTCAGCTCCTCCCAGAGCCCCTCCCCGACTAATGTTTAGTGCTAAGTGCTAACTGCTAACAACAGTGGTCTGCTTTTCTTGTCACGGAGCGAAAAGCTACTGGATGAATTACTTCAGGGGTTATTAAATAATATCTGGATGCAGCCATATGTGGTAAAAGGTCTCCAGCGTGCATGTATGTATAGCGCTGTGATTTTAATTGAATCATGTTGCAAAACGGACCAAATGCAGTGTAAT